AGATTTTTTCCCCCTACTGGAACTTCCATCCATATTCATGCTCAAGAATCAGTCCACAAGAAGTAAAATTCCTGATAGCTGCAGGAAGTCAGGATTCAAAAGCGGCATGATTTTCAGGGAACTACCCAGGATTCTTGGCAGGGAGACTGTTTATTTTGTAGGTTTTTTGAAAAACTATCACCAGATTGGTCCAGATTTCATTATAAAAGAAAATTTTTTTAAGATTCTCAAAATACTGTCTGTGTGTTCAGGCAATCTGCAGAAAGCACTTCTAAGCAGACCTTTCTTTTGCTGCATATGGAAAACTTCACCAGTTTTAAATTTCTTTCATCAAGGCCACATCTGTTTGTGTAGACTATGAGAGTTTTTATTTTAGCAGTACAGAAGAACTGCATTTAGGTTTTGCTCAGTGCAATTCAGCAAGAACCCATCCTTCAATTTTGTGTCAAATTGAATACTCAGACAGATGCATCTGTATTTTAATGACATGGGTCCCTCCCCTTTTTGCATTGAGTCCTAATAATTTCAAAAATGTGGTAAGTGCCTTAACTATATTTCAACTCAAGCAACTGTATATACACCTATACTTTATGAAAAAAAAATCCAGGACAATCATAACTAAAGCTTCATTTTTCCCCACAGAATAGCCTTTAGGCATGTTCAGGCAATGTGCTGGTACTGACATAACAAAGTAATTTACTGGCATTGATAATATTCCAGATGCTCAACTAACCTCTCACATCTAAAAACTCCAATTTTTAGAACTGCAGTGAAATCGCTGTATAAATCAATCTGACATAGGGACTAATTATGGTAGCCCAACTAGGAAGTGTTCTGGAACTGCACTAGTTTTTAAAGCCATTTACAGTTAAAATGTTGCTAAATAATTGCTTTATATAAATGACACTTTGTATGGAAAGCCAAATAAATTGTAACAGCTCTTTTTTTCTTGCCATTATTCTTAGGTGAATTTATTATAAGTTACTAGAAGACATGCAAAGTGCACGCCAGATGAGAACTCTGTATTTATAGCACGCTAAGTCAGTCAGCAAACAGAATCAACTAAAAATATCCACAACGGTATGCAGCACACCCACCCTTTGGGGACTATTCACAGGCTGTGGTGGTCTGATTTTTAGACAGAGCAGACAAGGAAGGAGAAAACACCCAGGTAGGTCAGTTTGTAAAGACGACTAAGAGTAATGGAGTCGGATCCCATACAACACTTTGTATTCCGTTTGGCAGGCAGTCAGACATCCCGAGCCCTACGAGATTTTCCTGTGTGCTTCCTGACCTCTCCGGGCCAATACTATGCAATTTCCATGCAGGGAACAGAAGCGTGCGCCGAGTGAAAGTGAGGACCAGCCCCATTCTTACTATGGCTTACCCTCCCATTTTTGCAAGCATCAGGAATTTGAAGCCTATCAAACAACAGATGCCAGAGAGCTCTGGATGCGCACTGAGACATCCTTATGAAAGACATGATGATCATTTACAATGGAAAGGTGGCCTTGGGAACACAGGCACTTGTTTAGGAAATATCTAACCAGAGAGTAGACAGCAAAAACACTTTCCTGGATGCCTGTGAAGTGCTGTTCTGGTTCTACTCAGGTAATCATGGTTTTTTTGGGTTTGGTTGGGTTTGGTTTTTTGGGGGTTTTTTGGTTGTTGTTGGGTTTTTTTCCCCACAAATTTTCTCTTCTTTTGATTTGAGATGCGTGTCCTTAAAAATATTCCAAAATAAAAACTCAGAGCACTCCAAGGTTTCTCACCGTTTCTTTTCACAGGTTAAACATCTGCAAGAACAACATGTTCCATTACCACAGTAAATTAACACAATCTGTAGAAATGACCATACGTCTCTCCTGAAACTAATTAAACCGTTAATGAGCAGCAGATACATTGCAGAAAAATCTTGAAAATAATATAAATTTGGTTCATGCATCTGCAAACAGCAGGGAAAACCTACCTAAAAACCTTCATAACATTATTTAAAACTTAAAAGTTTCATGCAAGGTTAAAACACCACATCAAGAACATTTACATGATGAAGTTTTCCATGAGCAGCTGGCAAAAACAGGAGAGGAGAACTTACCCAAACAGATGGGTAGGCAATGTGTTTTAAAAATAGTTTTGAATTTCTAGCAGTGACAAAAGGCTTTCCTCATAAGACAAAGAAATGACTTGGAAGGTTGTTGGAGACTAGTCTGCAATTATGTGAGAGAACATGAGAAAAGGCACACTGTCAGGATATCAGGGTTGGATTAGGTATTCAGAAGATATTAAAGAGGAAGGCCTTGTTTGAACTGGCACTGCAAAGGCTCAATCAGGTATTATCGCTGTCTTGATAGCCAAAAGAAATATTTATATATGCCATTACAATTAGACTGTTTCCTTTTCTTCAGACCATTAACTATTTACGTTTCTCCCCTAAATGCAGTACTGAGATTTTTATTATCTGGCTTCTCCTAATCCCTTTTGTTTACAGGCAGGAGGAAGAGAAGAAAAAGAAGCCCTTCAAAGGTCCTCTATCACTTGCTTCAGTCTTTACTCCAGTGCCCCAAGCCCCTCGTCATCACAGAGACCTGGCTCCCTCTTCAACTGAGCAAAACTAAACACAGCTCCCAGGGGCTTCACTATCACTACCAGAAGATCCAAACAGTGCTCATTTCATTGTTTTAGCTCGTTTGTCCAAATATGTAACATTTGAGACTAAAACCAGCCTCCTGACTGAGCTGGAGCAGGTAGGAGGTGGTGGTGGACTTTCTTCTTCTTTTTCCTGCCCCCCATCCACTCCTTAGGAGAGTTTACATCTCTGCTGCCAACCAGGAACTGTATGCTGCCCGCTATATGTAAGCAGGAACAGAAGAGCCCACTAAATACAGCAACAGCAAGACCCTGAAAAGGGATCAGATTCCTCAAACCCATCTGTCAGAACAGCTCTTCCG